TTGTGAAGGCAAAACCAAGCTATTTCTTCTCATGATAGGGATTGACTTTGTTTGCTTGCTTGTTTTTAATCTCTGTAATGGCCCTATCCATTGACACCCACTTCCTGACTAGGTCATTGTGTTTTATGTACTGTTCATGATTTCCAAGGATTAGATCTCCTGTTGGGGAAGTACTGTTAAAGGATTACTTGGAAGTCTCCTGTTTGGCTTCCTGTCAGTTAACTTCTGCTGTAATAACACATGTAGAAAGCAGGACACTAAAAATCAAGCCAATTCAGTCTTCTTGTCAGTTGATCCCTTTCATCATTTTATGCATTCAGTTGTCAGTATTCTTGTGATGGGAACAGCAAAGTAGGTACAATGAAAAATTGCAGAAGTGAAAAGTATAATGGAAATCAAATTAACTTCAATTGGTCCAAAAGATAAATAAGTTCAAGGTATTCACGGAGAGAGAAAACATCTTATGTAAACATCATGGATTTTCTTCATAAGAAAGATGTCCGAGTTTTAAAATAATAGTGCCATTAATGACAATACGAAACATTGAAACTCCTGAATTTTGATTGGAATTAGAAGTGGATCTGTAAGAACAAGTTGAGAAAGATGTCGTGTGCATCAGTGTGAAGTTAGCAAGATCTTTAGCAAGCCAGTGATATTATGCAGATAAGGAAATAGTCAGTTTGATAACACACATATAGAAGTGACTGAGGAAGTTAGGAAATAATTAACTATTAGCCAGTTAATTTTGCAATTCCTGAGTCTAAGTGTTCATTTAGAGCATCATAGTGTCTTTGACTAAAGTGGAATGAAAATGTTAAACTGTAAAAATAAAATATTCTGTTTGCAGAAAATACAAAAGGTACTTAAGTAACTAATTTGTTACACTTATTCAGCTAAAGCAATGTCAAATTAAATGTGACATTTTACAAGAAAGTTATTCCTGGAATACATCTCACACAAGTTCAAAATAAGTCAGTAAGGAACTGAAGAAAGAAATCTGTGTTTTGATCACTTTTAAAAGTGATTTTTATAATTCTACCACCAAAAAGGCTTGGAAGACAGGTGTCTTCCCACAATGGTTGGAAATAAAATAAACTACTCCCTGTTACAGCCCACCCCAAAAGGTGAGGGTAATGCAGGTTCTTGTTAAGAGAAACAACACTGAATGTCGTATGAAACTACATATTTACAAATCCATGTTTGTAAATATACACTTGGAGGGTTTATTTTAGAACAGTGTGGTTGCAATGGGGAGCACATATGTAACCATTTAGGTTATTATTATATGTAGTAATATAGCAATATAAAAGCATAAAAATAACACTTAAAAAAAAGATGGTAAGGAATAGAAAGATATCACCACCCATGGATGTCACAACAAATAGGCAAAAAAAAGAAATTAATATTTTATAATTAACTTCATGACCTCTTATATGGAAAAAGATGTGGTATAGGGAAGAAAGTATTTCTGGTCTTCTAAATACCATTACTGATGTATAAAGATTATTTTTTAAAAAGTTACTTAAAAATAACTTTCAGAATAAGATTTTGCAGTATTTGCCTATTTGAGAAATTTAGAAAAATGTTAATAAATACATAAAAACTCTCCTGTTTTACTTGAAGAGACCGAGACAGTGTGATTTTGTGAATGATATGCAGTATTCTGGAACTAAACTGGGGTGATATTAATTCCAGAGATAACCTCAATCTCATGTGTTAAAATCTCTGATACTGAAATCTTTTACTTGTTTTTTACAGCATAAAATAAAATACTCAGTGTCACAGGAACAAGCCTGTTATTTATGAAATGGACTTGATATTGAGGGTGTGTAAATTGTCACTGGAATAAGAGTACAAGAAAGGGTGTTAGAGTTCCTTAGAGCGAAAATTTCTTTGTGGTAGGGTCATTTTTGGAGGAGGTAAATGCCAGATTCTTAAATACTTAAGATTCATTATTTGGATCAAGTTGTGAAGAGCACCAAGATACGAAATGCTTCAATTTTGGCCCCTAAGAGTTTGTTGCCCGCTGCTTAGTAAAGCTTCTCATACCTAACTGAGACTCTTCAAATCCTGAAACGTTGGTCAACCATATGCTAAATTCTTCCATTTTACCTAAATTTTCACACTACTTTTTGCCTGTGACTGTCTGTAGAAACAAATAGGGAAGCAAAAAATGGAGGGGAAAATATAGCAAGAGATGGCTACGTTCACACTACTTTTTGCCTGTGACTGTCTGTAGAAACAAATAGGGAAGCAAAAAACGGAGGGAAAAAATAGCAAGAGATGGCTATACACCAGGTCAGATTCTCCAGAAATATCTGCCTCTGGGAGCAGGCAAGTTTTAGGAAAAATATTGGGCAGTGGACAGTATCCTATGTGATATCTGTTGCCAGGATTGTAAGTCAGTAAGTTTTATTTCTTTGCTGTTTCATGTAGAGTAACTTGTATGAAAGCGGCATGCTGTAGAAGTGACAAAATAGTTCTGATCTGCATTATTTAATGAACGCAATTTTGAACATTTCCTTTTTTGAAAAATGTTAAATGGGGTCTAAAGTTAATATTTTGCTACAAACCAAGTGAATCTTTTTCTACACAAAATCTCTGTTAAGGAAGACATGTTGATATTCCAGCACCATTAATTTGACTTCTTTAGAACTACAGAGTATTTCAATTTTTTTATTAATAGCATTGCCATTTATTATTGCAGTGAATTTCTTAAGCACAAATATTTGCTATAGACTAGATTGCTGATTGTGGAACTATGAAGCAAGGATATAAAACAATAGTTAATGTACTAAATTGGTTTATTTTGCATTTATGTGTAGTTCAATCCAATGTTTTATTGGAATTAAAGGGTATTTTACAAATTAATTGATAAAGCCAAGATATATAGTTTTCTCATGGATTTTGTCTATGTCATATTATATAAGAATAAAACTCATTATCTGTTTTGTTTGTACAGTAATTATATTTCGTTGTCCTGTGCATTCCTTTTGCTCGCTCCATCTCATAATACGTGCTGTAAAAGCACACATAAATAAATAGGATAAACAAATTAAGCTGTTTAAATAAATTAATTTACTCTGCAGCTCTGTATTCAAATCTTATGTGCTCACTGGATTTCATTTTAATGAAACCCTTCTAAGAACAATACATTGTATGCCAAACAGTGAAATTATATTTTAAATGAATGATTAAATATACCGTGTTCTAATTTATATCAAATCTGTACACTGTGCATGCTTAAATCCTCCTAAATCTAAAGAAATAAATCTTCTACATTCTGAAAACATCTGCATTATAATCCTCCTCTTGAATACTCAGTTCATGGACATATAAACACAATCAAAGTCATAATAAGCCCAGAGCTAGGATGCAGTTAAGCTATCCTCATCAAGGTTTTTGACTTAAAAACCTAAGACTGTTAAAGTGGAATCCACTTAAATGTCTTGCAAATTGCTCTAAAAAATCTCCTTCCACTCCATCAGTATGCCCGTTGAATCCCTTTGCAGTCAGAATCTCAAGTTCAGCAGATTTTTTTAATGAAACTTACCTTCAGCAAATCTATTGATTACTGTAGTTGAGGATGTTGCAAAATTTCTTAAGAATGCATTCAGAGAAATAAATATCTAGTGACTGTGCATGATAAAATGACTGCTCAAAAAGAACTTTTCTGTGTAAGGAATGTACTGCTTTTTTCAAGAAAATGCATTTCCAATGCACTTTTCTTTTGTATTATCAAACATGTACTAATTGTATTATTTCATTACCAAAAGCTTTTAGTGAGTTGAATGTGTGCAGTTGTTTGTTGATTGGTGGTTTGGGCTCATTGTTTGGTTTTTTTCATTATAAGTCAGGTTTTCAGTTATCAAAAGGAGAAAAACAAACACAATAAATAAGTTAGTTTAATGTCTTCAATCCTTCCAATAGATTTCCCCTATAGGATTTAATTATTTTCATCACTATTTTTCCAAAACAGCCACACTCTCACATACTTTAGTAATGAGTCTAGAGAACTTTCAGCAATAAAAAGAAAGTTCAAGAAAATACAGTAAATTTTCTAGAAGTAACTATTCTGCACTCATCTCCCTTTGATTATTGTTTGTGTCAAAGTTCTGGGTAAATAGACAGATATATCTGTCTGCTACATACTAACAATTCTCACATAGCGGATATGCAATGCAAACCATCACGGTCCTTACATTCTGGTTTTCAAAACCAAGGAACTTCTTGAAGTGCATCATAGCTCCTCTTGACTACCCTGCCAGGCCTCTCCCTGGATAGAAAAATATTAATGGTGGTTTTCCCCCATTCTGAAGTGATATGGCCACATTAATCCAGAACATGTGATTAATTCCAAGTTTGTGTTCCATGGTAAAAGTAGACATTTGGACTTACATCAGTCATGTTACTGGTATAGGTACTAAATGGAGGTTATAGATTCTTTATGATCCATAACAGTTCCATAAGATCTCATTGCTCAAGAAGCCTCTTTGAAATTAAAATGTGAGGTAAAAGTCAATATGAGATAAAACAACAGTAGCTGGGTTTTTTTTATTTGCAGAAATACATAGGCTAGCATCTGTAACCCAAAACGTATGCTTCCAATTCAATTGCATGATAACACAAGTAACAAAAACAAACCAACCAACCAAACAAACAAAATGCAAAAAAACCAAGAAAAACAAAACAACCAAACCAAAAAGCCAAACCAAAACAACAACAAAAAGGTGAACAAACCTCTTATTTTTTGAGTAGTCCAGAAGGCAGTTAAAAGCCTAATAGGATGAGCAGTACTCACGTTGCACGGTGAAATGTAAAGTCCAGTGTCCTAAAGTTGCCAAGTTTCCTTTGAGAATGCTCTGCAAATCCTGGAAACATCAGCAGGGAATGAGTAGGTTGTAATTTAGGAGAGAGATTCAGTTTAGGGAAGTGATGCTTGGAAACAGGGACTTGGTTTAACATTGCCATTTTTTGGAATGACTTTTTGTGTGCTCTAGGAACGTGTTCCAGACAGCCCTTCTCCTGCTCCTTCTCTTGAAGAGGGCCGAAGACCTGGCAGCCATCCATCCTCTCATCGAAGCAGCAGCGTGTCCAGTTCTCCTGCGCGGACCGAGAGCTCTTCAGACAGAATCCGTAGGTCCCATTCTTCTCCTTCTCACCACTTTAAAACTGATGAGGTGGAGCTTGTTTTTCTGCTCAAAATGCCCTCACTGTAAATAGATCTCATATGTCTCTTGTTCAGAAGTTCAGCTGCAATAACTATCTCCCAACATTATCTTCCCCAGTTTACAGTATCATAATATCTGATGCTACATTAACAGGTACTGATATAAACTGCCATCATGTCATATTAAACATAAACATATGAGCAATGAAATACAGAATTGCAGGTGGGGAGCAATTTGCTAGATTAGTTTCAGAACTATACATATAGTGTAAACATTTTTAAAAGAAATTGAATTTTATTTAATCTGGTTACTCGGTTTTGATTTCTATATTGAATCTGACTTCATAAGCAATATTTTACGTGGTAGAATTGCTTGGTAAAGAGAAGAATTGGGTTAAAAAAATTAAAAATGTGCATACTTTATAAATTTTTAAATGCAAATTTTTTTTAATGGTGAGAAATGTGATAGAATAAATATTATCACCTCATAGCTCACAGGGGACAGATTGAAATTAAACTGTGGTGTCCCAGAGTGATGCCATTCTTATCAAAGTTCCATATACAGGATGTAAATTGCATGGGAAAGACTCTGAATTCTGTGATATTCCAGTGCAGCAATGGAAATTAAGGTTTTAAATGCATACTATTTTATGGCTATATACTTAAATTCATATTACACTTGTCCATTCCCTTTAATACTGCTCTGTTGCGGGTTTTTTGTGTGTTTAAATTGTCTTTTCACAATGGAATTTGTTAGTAGGTGAAATTGGAGGGTTTGGCACACACATAGAAGGCCATGAAATAGCTGTATGAAATAGGTGGCCATATTGATTAGATGCAACACGTGTCCTTTAGGCTGCTTCTTTTCAGGCTCTCTGTAGAATCAGGAAGATGACTCTTCATTGACCTTCAGATGAGAGAGCTTTCATTAGTGTGTGATGAAAAATGACTTACCAAAGAAAAGAAATGAGGCCTGACTATGACAAGCTGAAAATTCTGTTTTCTTATCACTTGGACAATTCAGAGAGCAGATTAAATTGGCATCCCATATACTCTGACCTGTCTATTTCCCCAGGCTTGACTCACAAGCCTTTCATTATATTTTCTTTCCATTGTCCAGTTGAGGAGAGGGAGTGATGGAGTGGCTTTGGTGGGCACATGGTGTCCAGCCAGGATCAACCCACTGCAGACTTCATAAGTGAAGATCTGGAAAAAACCCTCACAAATGTGGAATTAAATTTTTTTCTTAATTGATTGAATAGTATATTTGTTTATAACTGAGGAAGCCCTTGTCCACTGTTCTCTTTAAAAAAAACCAAAACAACAAAGCATCAGAAACCCCAAAAATCTTAATTGATAGATATTTATTGTTTTTGCTAAGGAATTGCTCTTTTTTTTAACAAAAAAGGAAATTGTACTGTTCTGCTTACTCTGTAGTTTACAGAGAGGAGTTGGACATTTGCACATTTTTTTCTTCCATGTGTACATAACAGAGTTCCTTGAGTAGTGGATCGCTTCAATAACGTATTTATTTGTAAGATAAGTCTTTTCTGTCCTACCTGATTTGTTAACATCACACCTGATTCTTAAGTACATCTTTTCTGGTGCCAGCCAGAATAAGATGACTACTACAGGAATATGGGTTCCATATTAAAAAAAAATTACTAAAAATGGCATAAACCTCTTGAAAAGATTTTTTTTTGAATAAAAGCATAGAAATATGAGTTTCTGAGGTGTACTTGAGACTCATGAGGTCTCTGAAAGCTGTTGGACAGGGCTTTTCTACCTGTCTGCTGAGCAAATAAGCAATTTTCCTGTTGCACAGAATGTATGGAAAAACAGTGTTTATCACCTGAAAGGCCACAATGCTTCATTTAAGGAAGTTATTAGGGACTGCATATTGGGAATGTTGGTGCTCAAGCATTTTGTACAATGAACTAAAAATTTAACAATTCTTGTTAAATCAGCAAGAACATATTTGCAAATCTCCAACTTTATCCAAAGTTACTGAACTTTCTTTTTAAAATTGATTGCTTTAAACTAGAAATAACAGGAAGAAACTTTATGTGGATCCTGATAGCACTAATTAAGTAACTTTGTGATTGTTAGAATTCTTCTATAATTAAGAGGAAGACTATGTAAAATAAGTAAAAAAGAGGGTTGTTAGTATGACAGCTGATTTCTTTCTTACCGTGCTTTTGTCTAGCAGCTGTCCATCAGAACGGGCTCTCTATGAACCAAATGCTGATGGGTTTGTCACCTAATGTCCTGCCTGGACCTAAGGAGGGTGATCTGGCTGGTCATGATGTGGGACATGAGACAAAAAGAATACACATTGAGAAAGGTAACATGAATTTTATAATTCTGCTGCTTCAGTGTAAAACAAGTGTTGTCCTGGTAGCTAAATATTAATATAAATGTGATTTTTAATTTCTTAATTGAGATTTTTCTTTCATTGATTTTTTTTTTCAGTTTCACAAATCAAATTGTAGCAGGAAGATAACTGTCATTATTGTTCTATTTTGTCATTTCCAAGATTAACTTTTATATATCTATATATATGAGGGAGAAATGTCATAAATATTGCAAAGCAGCATGAGTGAAAAACTGTTTTGCATTATTGTTGTCACTCTGACCCTTCTGCAGCACTATTTAGGTATTAAGTTTCTGTCTCCGTCCAGTTGACTTTAATGACCTACTTCCCAGAGGGACTGAGCACCATGAAAATTAGTCCATGTGTGCAAAAACGAAAAAGGCTAATACCAAGCCATTAAATTAGGGAATTGCATAAAATTAGGCTGGTATACATTATATAATGGGATTTAAATTTAATTGAGTATATGACCAAAGTGTTTGATCTAGGTGAATAGTCCACATGCACTTATGCTGATTATGACACCATTTCATCTCTGCTGGTATTCAAAGTCAAGTTCCTGTTCAGGGCTCTTACAGGGGATTTTGGTGGAGTGGTGGTGGAATTTCGAAAGATGCATTTTATGTTTTATTTGCTTATTATATATGAATTTTAGTCTTATAGACTGGAAACATTTTTTTAAAGAGCGGCTTAAAAAGAAATGCATGCTTTGAAAAAAAAATTTCTTGAAGCTTATCAGAAAAGTCAGTTCTTTAAGCACAACAAGAGAAAAAGGTACAATAACCACTCAATGAAACAGAGCTGGAGAAACTGGTGTATCTCTGAAGATTTCAGAATAAGACATTTTGTGACATATTTTAATAGCTATAAGGTGATCCCTCCTCTCTCTTGTGTTTGAACACTGAGATATGAAAAGGAATTAAAACCTGGACAATTCTATTCTGGACAGGTGGTGTTTTTAATACGATTACCAGAAAAATTAATGGAAACAACATTTCTTTTATATAAACCATTTAGTTTGGTTCATTGCACACACAACCTGTTTTTGCTTACACTATGCCCTCACTCAGCCTCTGCAAATTGTATCCCTGCTGTGAAGTATGATGTGATCAAATAGGTTTGTTTTGAATTTCCATAAATGATTTTATTTCAGCCTTTGAAGTTACTTGTTTAACTGTAATCTGACTGGTAAGTTCTGCAAAGAGAAGTACATATTAAGAATGGCAGTACTTTTGCATGTCATTCAATTTTTAAAAGGGTTTTTGTTTTTTATTATGCTATCCCAAATGTATTTTCCCAGTCTTTGCAAGATCTGTTCTCAGTAAAACTGCTGAGAATTCTCTTTTTTCCTCAGTCATGTTTAGGTCAAACCTCCTTTTTTTTTTCTTTTTTTTTTTTTCTTTTCCCCCCATTCTATTCCAGCTACTGAAGTAATGGTAAATATTCATGGGCTATCTAGATTGATAGGGGTTACTAAATTAAAAATTGTTTTCTGTCATGACTACATTTATCATGTCTCTCATATCAAACTTGTAACTTTAGTACTAATCTAATCTGTATTAAAACAAGTGATTTGATTTACAGATATTTGTGGAGATAGTAATTATCTAGTTTTTATCACTGTGAGCTTGCAGTCAGGTTTTGAAACTGTTTTACCCTTGGAAATCAGTCAGACTGTGACCATATTTAAAAATGCTAACACACATGCAGGTGGTGGCACTTTTATTGTTAAAACATCATTAGCTTCATCAGCTGAGGAGGAGAGGAGTGGAGAGGAGAGGAGAGGAGAGGAAGGAAGGAAGGAAGGAAGGAAGGAAGGAAATTAAATGAGTCAAAAGTTCTAAATAAGTATGAAGCATTTAAAAATTAATGTGTTTTCTTCTAAGACTTCTGTTGGCAGAGATATACAAAGTGCAACTGTCTTTTAATAAAACCTGGTAGAACCTAGAAAATTCTTACTAGTAAAGAAGGCCCTTTCTTTTCTCTTTTTGTCTCCTCTTCCACTAAAAAAAAAAAATATGAAAAATCTCTGAAGTTATCTGAGGTCAGGGAGAATTTATTTACAGTCAAAAGATAATTCAAAGGGGTAACAAAGTAGTAACAGAGGTAACTGATCAACATACCAAATTTTGACTGTCAGAGAGGTGAATCATTTGTTTGACCTGATCCCTGAGCTGGATATGGGAGAAAAATGCCATTTACCTGTTAGAAACATAGCACAAAGGAGCTAATTTACCCAGTTCACACAACATGGTGTAATACATTTAGAAACAGTACAATGGCATTGGCAAACTGAATAAGTCTTTCTAAGATCACATGTATTCCTGTTCAAAATCTAGCAAGAATTACTATTAATGACAAAAATTAGTTTATTTTATTAGTGGTTCAAGCTACCAGTAAAGCTCTTGTGTAGTTTTTTTTTTTTTTTTTTGGGGGGGGGGGTTGTTTGGTTTTTTTTCATTTTTCTTTTTGTTTTAGTTTTTTGTTTGTTTGTTTTGGGTTTTGTGTTTGTTTTGGGTTTTCATTTGTTTGTTTGTGTTTTGGGATTTTTATCATTATTTGTTTTTAGACTGTATTCAAAATATATTTTCAGGTTCTGATAGGGGAGTTCTGAGTGACGTTACCTTCCATTAAGTCAGGTTTATTATTTTATTATTATGACACCAACAATCAAATGATTGTCTATGGATCTTTCTGTTAAAACTAGAAAGTTCACGTCAGGCTCTGGGTCATTGTTTGTTGCAGGAAAACTGGAAGAGTTTCTGTTGTCAATGGCCATATATAAAACATAGGTGCTGGGGACATTTTCCAGCTGCTTAATCCAGGTGTGCAGCTTGGCTGCATACTAGCTTCATGCTGGGTCAAGACCCAGTGTACACATGTGAAATTCCACTCATTCCCTGAGTTCCATAAGAGGAATACTTAGGTTTGCTAGGGCTGTGTTGTGATCCAGTGAGGTTCCTAGTCTGGACAAAGAAGGACAGCAGAGCACTTCTGCCTCACAGTCCATACATCACTCAATGTTATCATCTCTACCAAAAGAGATCAATTACCCTAGATTTCCAAAGTTTCTTTGCTTATCAGAAGACAGCAGCATTTCCAGAACTGCAAATGGTCCTGGGAAGTATGAGGTAAGTTGAAGTACACAATGTTAGTTCAAGTGCTTGACACCAAAATCAAGCATCTAATTTTGTAATCTATAATTATGGACTCTTTGATGATGTTAATTTGTTTTTTATTGAGTCAGATTTAACGAGAAGGGCTTATGTGAAGTATGGGATTCATATTAGAAAAGGTCCATGCAGTTTTCTATGTTAAGAGAAGACTTTAAGTCTTTCCAAGTTTCTGTGACACAAAGACTCTAGTCCCTCAGTTCTGGTGAGGTACATTTCATCACTTATCCTTTTCAGCTTACATAGACATCCTGCAGACGTCCCAGTCTGAAGCTTTGAGAAGCAGATTTTCAGTGGTTTTTATGGAGCTGAATACCTGTTCAGCTCTTCAGTAATGTTATCTGTTAAGGACAGGAAAGAGGAACTAGTGGAGAACAAAAAAGACTAGACTGCTGAATCCTGATCCTCTTTTTGCTCATTGATCTGAAGTGTTTCAAAAAAAGAGAGTTCAAAATAACCAATGGCTTAGAAGTCAAACACACTATACTTGGAGATGTGGAGCACATTTCCTGAGCAGTATCTTTAATCACTGTGCTTTTTGTAAAAGAGGGAAGTATATTTTAACATCATCCTTTTACCCTCATGACCTGGACTCAGGTTGTATTGGGTCTGCAAGGTGTAATTTATAGCTTAGTCCTGCTGACAGTGTTTGTCTACTTACTAGCTCCAGGTAGCTGCATTCAATTTTTTTGGGTCATGTTGGAGGCAGTGGCTGCTTGTAGTACCCCTAATTGGTACCTGCCTAGCAATACCTACTCTGTACTCTGTAAAGGAGTGTAAAACTCAGCTCACTTCAGCCCAAGATTCCTTTATGGGGGACAGCCACTGAAAAGTTAGTTGCTTTAGCACCAAATTTTGATGCTTAAGTGTTTTATTGGATCTGGCCTTAGGGCATCAGATTAGAATTTTCTGTCTCCATCAATTTGGTTTTTTTTTAGATAGACACCAACAGCAAATAAAGCCTGAATGTCATGCTTACATTTTCAATTGAATATGTTATTTGAGATGTTATGGGAAGGACACTCTCTTGCTGAAAATATGTATGCTGTTTTCTATGGCAAAACAGAAAATACTCACCATGCTCACAAAACAAGTTAAAGTATTTCTTTCAGAAGAGCTTTAAACTATGATGTTAATGGAAATTCCACAAGTAATTTTCAGGTAATCAACAATAACTGCTTCTTGACAGCAGCAATTAAGGTATAATTTTATCAAATTCACATATGAAAAAGTCCCTTGGTTTGTTTTTCTTTTTATTTTATGTACCCCTGTAGAGACAACATCAGTCTTAGACCTTTGGCTAATATTTTATAGAAGAGAATAATAAAATTTCAAAGAATCCTCAGTTAAAAATGGAAAATGATTTAAATATTCCAAAGTTAGGATTGGATTTTCCTGTTAGCATTCATTCATCAAAAAGAGGACTAATGACAAGTATGCCATTCTATATAGTTAGATATTCATTTGTATTATCAGCAGTAAATCCTCTTACAAGGCACACACAATGTAAATATAACATGCTTATTCACCTTAACAAATACAGAAATACACATGAATATGTTTCTATAAATATGAAAGATTCAAAAGAAGTTTTAGCATCAACACCATTCTCTTCAGCCTGAGCTGTTCTCTAACAAAGTCATCAAGCAAGTGATCCAGACCTTTGCTTAAATTCTGTTTCTGGTCTGCTTAAATTCTGGTCTGTTACAATTTTAGTTAGATTTCTGGGAAAGCCCTTTTTTAAGGAGAGTACTTACCAGTTGATGTACAGAGTAATTTTCATTGGCAGTTCTGCTT